ACACAGTAACAAGTGAATTCACATAAGCCAGAGCCAGCAGTTAGTAATTTCACAACAGTTACACAATTCTGGGGAGGAGACAATGAGCCAGGGTTACTGGGAATTTACCTTTCAGGAATTTAGGTCAGAGACAAATGGCCACTAACAAGGGTACCTAACCAAAATGGAGTTTTCCATAGTCATCACAACAGCACTGCCAACTCCTAAATCACAGTGATGACCTAGTTGAACTTTGGATGAGATGCACACACACCAGCGCTCCAGTTCTAAATTAAGAAAAAGAGATGCTGACCACACAGACAGAACAAAAGGTAATCACTGTATCCAGACAAAAGTCTGGACAAATGTATTTTAATCAAAATGAAAAGAGAAAAGATACACGAGAACCTATAACATTATCATAAGGCATAAGATACACAAAATTCAAAGAAACACTTAAGAATAAACTACAGGGGGGAGTAGAGAGACGGATCCATTGGTAAAGTGCTTGCCATGTAAACATGAGGACCTGACTTGAGATTCCCTAGTGTCCACATGAAGCTGGGAGTAGCAATACACACATAACCCAGCACTTGGTGAGCAGACACACAGATCTCTGCACTTCAGGCAACCAGTGAGCTCCAGGTTCAGTGAGAAAACCTGTCTCAATTAGGATGAACAGGGGAGACATCCAACATCAACCTTGGCCTCTCATGCATTGGCACCTACATGCATGGATGCATGCATCTCCATGAATACATACATACTTCATACACATAAAAAAATAAAGGCTAAACTAGAAAAAGATCTAGAGACATACACATCTACTTTGATAGTCTTAAAAATCTCCAAGAGACAGGTGACTCCTGAGAAAAATGTAAATTACCAAGCAACTTACTTAAAAAATCATCTTGGCCTAAACCTATCTTATAAAAACGGCAGAACCTCGGGTGGCACATGCCTTTGATCCAGGACTGTGGAGGCAGCGGCAGGCAAATCTCTGTGAGGCCAGCCTACCTACTTTACAGAGCTAGTTCCGGGGCAGCCAGGATTACACAAAGAAATCTTGTCTTGAAAAGAAACAAAGTCTAATAGGCAAACACCAATAATAAACATGAACGAAAAAAGTTTAGACCATCTATTAGCAAATCATCTCCCAAATACACTGAAATAATACATAAAGCAAGTAAAGTTTATTCCAAGAATATAATGATGATTCATAATTTTTCAAATTACATTCATGTATTCTCCATTACATTTCCACAGGAAAAGCAATACATGTAATTATTTATCATAATAGATTTCTCTTGTTTATTTGAGACAGGGTCTGGCTATGTAGCCCAGGCTTGCCTTGAGTCCAGTCCTCCTGCCTGTACCTCCCAAGTCCTAGGATTAGAGATATTTACCAATCCTAGGTCAAGAGATTTTTAATTTAAAAAAAAAAAAACTAGATAAAATTTGTCACCTTCTCTATTTAGGTAGAAAAGATGAGCAGCCTAGAGAGTTAGCAAATACAGTGAATCTTTCTTACAACATGCCTCCAAAAAGCCTATGGAAAACATCCCATATCATTAAATATTAGCAGCATCCTTATTAAAATCAGGAATGAGGCAAAACTCCCATCAGCACTACTACTGGCCACTCTGTACCAGAAGTAATGCTTCTCATGGGGAAGCTAGGAAGAGAAATGTGGATTCTTGGCTACAAGCAATATGGCAAGCTTCGGCCAAAGATAATTTACTGGAACAATTTCAGTAACTCCCAAAAGAGATGCAAGTCTGACGAAAACAAGTAACTACTAGAGACCCGCAAAGGGCCATACATAAGAATGGTCTCCGTAACAGGCCCCATTCAGTTACACACTCAGCCGAGATCACTGAGTTCCAAGTGCCCTTCGCAGTAATTCAGTGCCACTGAGATTCAAAGGCTTGCAAAGAAATATCCATCTACCACCAAATGGTTGCAGAGAGATTAAGAAGTGTGTTCGAGGGTGCACAGGAGCACATTCATGGAAACCAGAGTCCTACTCTATCACTTTCCATCTTATTCCTTAGGGACAGGGTCTCCCACTGTACTGAAAGCTAAGCTAGTTCTCATGGAGCTCCAACAATTCGCTTGCCTCTCCCAACCCCCACAGAGCTGAGTTTAGAAGCTTACAGCTTTGCACATAGAGACTAGGGAGTCCATCTCAAGTCCTTGGTGTGTGCAGCAAGCTTCTTACCCACTAAGCCATCTCTCCAGCCCCAATGGCTTCCTTCATAACCGCACACCATAATAAGGGACTGGAGATATGGTTCAATGGTTAAAAGCATTTACAGAGGACCCAATTCTGTTTATAGCACCCTCAATGGATGACTCAGAAACATCTATAACTTAGCATAAGTCCAGCTCCAGGGGACTCTGACTCAGTGGTCTCTGTGGGAACCTGTACTCATATGCACATACATACACATGCACACAATTAAAAGTAATAAAAATAATGGCCTGGCGATGGTGCCGCATGCCTTTAATCATAGTATTTGGGAAGTAGAAGCAGGCAGATCTCTTTAAGTTTGAGGCCAGCCTGGTCTACAGTTCCAGGACAGCTAGGGCTGTTAACACAGAGAAACCCCATCTTGAAAAACCAAAAACAAATAAACAAATATTTTTAAGAGAGCATAAATAAGTATTTCTATAGTCCTCAGCATGGGACAGGCCTTCGTGAAACAATATACAAATCCTAGAAGTCATAAAGAAGATCTATTTAAAAAATACATAGATTTAACCATGAAGTTTTTAAAACTTCTGCACTAAAAGCGAAATTTAATGAGAGCAAAAAACAAAATGAAAAGCTTTAGCACTTACAATAGGATGTCCATGATGCATGAAGAGAAATCAACAAAGTAAAACAACAATCTACATCCCCGTAGAACAAGCAAAAGATATTAGGCATTTACAGGAATTAAATACTAATGACCAATAAACCGAGGAAACACACACATTAGTAACCACGAAAAATGCAAATGAAAACTGTTTGCTGACTATGAAACTAACAAGATGTTGAGGACTGAAAATAACCACTACTGATAGTTAATGAGCACTCTAATACATTCCTCCTTGCGTAGACATTTCCCTGTGAATAATATCATTTACTGGTATTGGGAGAAAAAATATGTTTCCCTCTATTTTTATTAGCATTCAACTTGCCAAGTGGTTCTCAAATTTTGGGCGTCTATAGACCCCAAAATTTAAAGAGGGTATGCCTGGTTGCCAGGGTTTGGAGAAAGAGACATCTACAAAGGGGCAAAGGCGATTTGGAGTAAATGAGAAAAATATATCATATTTTAATCATGATCACGGTTCCATGACTTTTTATCAGAAAAACATGTAACTTAGTAAATATTTATGTAAACTATACCACTATACCTTAAAAATGACTTCAAAGCCAGGCGTTGGTGGCACACGCCTTTAATCCCAGCACTCGGGAGGCAGAGGCAGGTGGATCTCTGTGAGTTGGAGCCCAGCCTGGTCTCCAGAGTGAGTGCAAGGATAGGCTGGCCTTAAAGGGGAGGGGCCGGGATAGGCCCAAAAGCTACACAGAAAAACCCTTTCTGAAAAAACAAAAAAAAAAAAAAAAAAAAAAAAAAAAGACTTCAAAAGTTGCTCGGCCTGGGGCTACACCCACTGGGAGAGCATTTTCCTAGCATCATCTCCAGTAACAACAAACAACCTAGAGGGTTTTTTTTACATTTAGCATTTAGAAATGTCAACAGTTTGGTCGGTGGTGGTGCATACCTTTAATCCCAGAACTTGGGAGGCAGAGGCAGGGGGATATCTGTGAGTTCGAGACCAGCCTGGTCTACAAGAGCTAGTTCCAGGACAGCCTCCAAAGCCACAGAAAAACCCTGTCTC